AGTAGGCAGAGAGGAGGGGGGCGGGGGAGGGGGAAGCAGTCTCCCTGCTGAGCAGAGAGCCCTATGTGGGGCTCGATCGCAGGACCCTGAGATCATGACCTGAGCTGAAGACAGAGGCTTAACCCACTGGGCCACCCAGGTGCCCCAGAAAGCACCTTCATCATCTGCTTCATCTGTCACCCACTGCCTAACTCCCCACTCCGGTGCCGTCCTTCGGTGGTTAGTTCTCAGAAGCTGCTTCGGGACCCACACATTGGCAGCCCGGTCTCCCCCTCGCCAGCCCATTTCAACTTCTGGGCCTAGTCTATTTCCCAGCACCTATTTCTCTGACTCTCAAGTAACACTTCATTATGTTGATTAGAAAATCATCATTCTGTAACTTTTACTCTCTTAACAACCAGATATTAGACGAGAAAAGGGTGCAACTAGGAATCACAGGCCTTAGTTTGAATCCTTGTTCTGCCACGCCCTCGATGTGACCTTTTCAGTTAGCCGCTTGATCTCCCAGATAATTCATTTTCCCCATCAGTAAATCGGGCTGTTGACATCACCTTTACGGCTCATTCTGTGACTCAGCGAGCAGGTGTATATAATTCATGGAGCACCATGGCTGACAAAAGTCGGTGCTAAACCAATATGAGTTTCCCCCTTCCCACCGTCCTCCCCAGTGCGAGCCTTCGGCTGTACAAAGAGATCCCGCCAGTTACTGAGTTGGAGACTGATCTCGTCTTCCCCGTGAGTGTTCCTGTCCCCAGGGTAAAGAGACCCAGTTTAGGTCCACAAACGTTCCTTGAGCGACTTGTGTACTCTCCACTTGGCTATGGGAGGGGAGATTTCTCTCTGAGTCAGTGATCTCCTACTTATTACCAAATGGGAAAAGAATCTGTCCCTCCCTCCTGCCAAGAGCTGGGGTTCTGCCGTCAGAACCCTGCATGTTTTAAGTTGAGTGTTCACATAATGGGGTCTGTTTGCCTAAGTAGAAGCATCCTTTTTACTAGTCATCAAGTTTTCTCTTCAAGAATGATTACACATTTCACAAATCCAAGGGGACAGCCTCAGTTCGATAAGAGCCTGCCAGCCCCAACTCTGGCTGGGTCTATTGACAGCTGGCTTGGCCCTGTGGACTCCGTGGTTTCCCCCAGAAACGCACAGAAGGACCAGAAAGCAACAGCTGCTCTGTCCCTTGGCAGGGCTGGAGGTGTTTGGCCTTGTGAATGAGGTTTTTCAAGTAAGGACCTTGCTCGAGACGGGATATTAAAGGTTTGGTTTTGGTTGTTGTTATTGACCCAGTACAACACGCTAACAGCTCGAGATTTAGAAACATTAAACACTCCCTTCTCAGCTTCAAGACGACAGTTGATAAGCATATAACCATATGATACTGAAGACAACAAAGAACGGGAGGAGAAATTTGAGCCCTAGGAGATTAATAAATAATGAGGAGCAAATACAGTCAAGCCACAGATCCCCAACGGGGCCCATTAGTTGGGCTCCTGCATAAAGCCAGACAGGCAGGCATGGCTCCTGTAATTCTGTTAACACTAACAACTAGTCCTTAAATGCTCTCACATGTATACAACAGGAGTATTTATATTCTCGCAGCAAACAGAGCGTTGTTCCAGAATCGTGAGCAGTGGTTTAGTTTGGCAAATTGGGTAATCTAATCACTAGCTTTGTCAACTGCCTTTGTGCTTGCTCCCTAAGGGGGCCTCCCGTTCCCTGCAGAGCTGTGGTTCTCAATCTGCGTCTCCCGGAGCCCTCCTGTTCCACGGAGGGTCTTTTGGGGGCAGCCGGGTGGGCGCCGCTAAATGAAACTCCAGGCCCTCTCCACCTGCTTCAGGGAGAGTAGCTTTTAACTGCTCTGGTCTTTAGAGAACTTGGAAGATTGTGCTTGAAATGAAAGGGTTTGGGGGTTTTGTTTTGTTTTGTTTTTTGCTTCAGAACAGAAACTTGAACCTCAGCGGTGCCGTGATGTTCCGCTACTTTTGTAAGTTACTTTTCTGCCCGCTGGTATGTTTCTGAAATGTAACCATGTTAATACACCCTGGTAGAATTCAATCCTCATATGAATAAACCGCAATAGATTCATTCCCCTTCTCCTGGTTGATTATATGATTCCTCTTTTTTCACCATTTGAAATAAAGCCTCAGTGAAGTTGAGAACTTTTTTTTTTTTTTTTTTAAATAACAGCAGTGAGGGTTGGTGAGCTCCCAGCTGGCCAGGAAGGGGAGAGACTACTGATGGGTAGTGCGAAGGGGGGAGTGGAAAGAGGACTAGAAATTGCGTGGACCTGACCGAGGCAGGACCAAGTGTGATGAAGGACACAGTCTGGCTTGTAGAAAGCAGTTAAAAATGAAGGTAAGTTGAATGGAATTGCATTAAATTAAATGGAATTTAATTTTACCGAATCCATGAGATACTTATCTTGCACATTTTAAACATCATGGTTCCTTTTTCCTCCTGCATTCCCCCCGCCACCAACACCCTCAATGTCCAACCAGCGTATGGTTTTTAGAAGTTTCAAGAGCATCAGATATAAATTAGATCAGGGATGGAGTTTCTGAAAAAATAATAAATGCTTATATTAGTATCTCACACAGAAAAATGTTGAGGTTACGACAATTTTGTGAAATTCAGATTCCCTCAAGCTCTCAGGATCCACTTGCTTGATATCGTGCGCATTTTTGCCGTTGGAAGATTTTGCTTCCTGTCTCCAGAAGCAAAAGGCGACCTACAGAGCTTTCAGAACGCGTGATTATTCATTTGAAAATAATTTTGATAGACATCTTTTACATTGCCTTGAGTTATGATAGTGAGTGGAAACTACATATGAAATTTTTTTTTATTTTGAATTTGGGTTTTCATCAATCTAAAGTATTGTATGTGTTAAAAGTCTTTGTAACAATGTGAGTTAAATCTTTTCTTGCATCGCCGGGTGGTCTCCCCAGTGGTGGATTGTGGACATAGTTAGCCAGGGGAAGACCCCAAGTAAACAGGATTCAGTTTGCCTTTGGGATGGGGCAAGGTTTTTTTTCTGTTTCCCTCTCTGCAAACCCTGACCATGTGATGGTTTGACTCTGTCCCCGTGGCTCCGATTGTCTTTACTTTTTGGAGTGTGCATTATTTGGAAAGCATTTCAGGTCAGAGCTCCAGGCCAAATTGAGGATAATGACTAATTCGTAGGTTGTGGGAATTACTTGATTCAATTTAGATACTTATTTATATCCTATAATAAAAGTATTTTTAAAACATTGGATATTGTTAGCATTTACAAATATGAAATTCTGGTTGTTCTAACACAACGATTAAAGTTATTATCAGCAATCTTGATTTGGAGTAGCCCTTATCATAAAAAGTCTAGAGCTAGTAACTCAGCTGATTTTCCGTATGACTAATGAGGCGCCAGTCTAGCGTCTACTCAGAAATGGGTTCAGCTGATCATCAGAGAACTAAGTGTCTATGTCTTTGCCGTCTCACTGTTTGGTCTGGACTAGAAAGTTCTTTTTTTTTTTTTTAAGATTTTATTATTTATTTGAGAGAGAATGAGCCATGGGGAGGGATTGGGAGAGAGAAGCAGACTCCCCGCTGAGCAGGGAGCCCACTGTGGGGCTCCATCCCAGGACCTGGAGATTGTGACCTAAGCCCAGGGCAGACACTTAACAGACTGAGCCACCCAGGCGCCCCTGGACTAGAAAGTTCTAATAGTATGGTTTTGTCTCCTAGGCCAGCTCCCATGGATTAGTCATAGCTCCTGAGGCCTGTGGGAAGTGTGCTGGCATCAATCAGTGATGTCTGCGACCAGGGGCCAGGGCTGGGGGTGGTGGGGAGGGCAGGAAGGGGAGCAAATGTAAGGTCAGGGTATCAAGATCAGAGTCTTATCTCCATCCTTTATTAGCTGTGAGCGATCATGGGCAAGTCACCTATTCCACAACCTCAACTTTCCCAACTACAAAACATGGATAACAACAATTAAGAGAATTAAAGTGGATACTACGAATGAGTATGAGTAATGAGAAAGAAACCTTAGCTGCTGTTAGTGTGTCTTGCCTATCCCAGTCTGGAGTTTCGCCTTTTAAATTTGCGGTATTTTAGTATTTCTGTCATCCTCTTGGCAGTTAATTGCGAACTACCTGCCATCTTGCATTAGTGCATTGTATGACGTCATGCTCACTTCCCAGGCCTTTCCCTACTGTGCACACTTTCTAGCCTGGGCCCCTCCTGCCACAGGCGATCAGTAATTGTGTGTTTATTGAGTGAACATACTAATAGCATTTTTAAAACTTTAAATGTTGACAGATGAATATAGCTTTCTTTTTCTTTTTTTTTAATTTTCTGTCTTTTTATGTGGAGAGATGTATTTTGCATTTTATTTGAGAAGATTGTTTTTATTTTATATTCAAGGGGTCATAGGTTTTATTTTTTTCTCTTAAAGAATTTTAAATTGGGCTTTATTTTCAAGGAACTGAGCTGTTTTCTGTGCTCTGGCAGCCCCATGGGCCAGCGTGAAGAGGATACAGGCCAGTGGGCTTGGTGGGTCAGGCACTGGGGAGGTGCGAACGCCTTCGGGGTCCCCCTTTCTGGGCTGAGCACGGACAGGGGCCTGGGCTTAGGCAGGGGCCTGGGCTGCCCACTTCCTCTGCACATCACAGGCACTCTGTAACCCATCTCCTTCCTTCTGGAAACCTTCCTCCCCGCCTCCCTCTTCCCCCTCAGTTGACACCACCCTACCACACTCCTAGGAGCCAAGACTTAAATGATTTACTTAGCGATGCGCACTGATCACAGCTTCAAGCCGTCTGGTCCCAGCTTCTCCATCTCCATTTCCCCATGCCTTTAAGATTCAGGTCTTCTAAAGAATCGACTGTGCTTCCACATAAATCATATTGTCTACCTGGCTAGAAAGTTCCTTGGCTTTCGGCTGATCACTCACTGCAAGACCAGTTCCCTGTTGCTGCCACCAAGCAAGTAGATAAACTTGTTTCTTCTTTCCCTGGTGACAGGCGCATCTCATCGTGCTGAGCAAAAACCCCTCTCAAGAGGAGGCAGCGGTCTCCGCACATTTTGTCGCCCACGCTGCTGTAGCTTCTGGGAGTACCGAGCACCAAGGTGAGCGCAAACCTTCTGTGGGCAGGGTTTGCTGCCCGCTCTACGCCCCCCACCACCACCCCTGTGCCTGCACGTGCGCTGCTGGGTATGTAACCCACTGAATTTAGGATGGGCCCACAGATGGGCAGGGTCTGTGACATAGGACCCTTGGAGAGCTTTGGCGGCTTTATGTGGCCCTGCATCTCTGTGCCACTCCCTTAGCTTCAACAGTGTTCTTTGGTTTCTGTTCTATTCGGCCTTTTTCTAATCTTTTACTTTCAAATCCAGTGGATTCTCCTCCAGCCAGAGCTATTAAGAGCCCCAGAGAATCCATGCTGGGCTTACAGGAAAATCTGCTCTGCTTTCAAAGGTGATCTATTTTTAAGGATTGTTGTGGAGCTACTGTGGCAACAGATCTGGCTTGTCGGAACCCCAGCCCACAGACTTTCACAGGACTGGGCTTTCCATCAGGATGAACTTACATGGTTTCAGGAGTCCAAGAGGAAGTTGCTATTTATGACTCACATGGTTTTTCTTAGCCCCATGTAAAAGGTAGAGCAGCGAGCTTGGGGAGTTCTTTAATCCACAGTTCTGGACTCTGAGCATACAGTATGCCTCTGTTGCTGGAGAACATATATTCCAGTGACTTTTGGTGGGGGTGAGGCGGTCAGAATATTTAGAAATAGATAAAGAAGACCTATATGGGTATATTGCAAAATATCAGATAAAAATAGTCATGTACTATAGTAAAATAAGATCCAGTGAGCCAGCAAGCGTAAAATTGAGATCCAGAATAATTGGGGTACAGGGTACAGGAGTTGGGCTAGGATGCCAAGGCTGGCGGGTAGGTGAAGACAAAGGGGACACCTCTATGAGCAGCTTGGTCTGCACGGATCCCTGGGTGAGGCAGGGGTTCCAGTCCAGGGAGGAGCTGGTGAAGGGGATTTCAGGGTTTATCCATCTGTCCACCCGATCTTAAGACTCCTCGTTCTGGTCTCCTTTTTGGAGCCGAGCAGCCTATCTAGGTATAGAGAGAGAAGGCTGGAACACTTTCAGATCCTCTCTCCCCGGAACACTCCATGTATAACAATCCACTACAAAACCTTCAAAGAGCCAGCAGTTTTTTAACCAGCTCATTGGTGCTTAAAATTCCTTTCGTAGGGGAAAAGACCCTTCCACTCCCAACTAGTAAGACAGTTAAGATGCCAGTGCATGTTTGATGGAAACCCCTAGACTAGCAGGAGTCACAAATCTAAGTGTCTATAGGAATCAAGTAGGCCGTATGAGTGACGCAGAGAGTCACGACAATACAGTAGCAGCAGCAAGCGTAATCGTAAACGGCAGCTACTGTTGGTTGTAACGTGAGAGAGACCGTGCAGAGGGCTGAGGACGGTAGCAACTGGAGAAGCCGTACCCTACCGAAAGTGAGCAGCGGTCTCTCTAGCCCATTACCACCAAGGGGAAGGCAGGCTTCTATGGCAGATCTGCCTTTTCAAGAGAAGGCAGAAATCTAGGTTTTTATGTGTAATTGATGCCAACTAACTCAAGTAAGTTTCAGACTCTGCATGGGGCAAAACAAGTGTGAGGACCAGACCTGTAACGTCTGCCCCGGAGATCAGGTGTGTAATGAGTGCTTGTCAGGCCCTTCCTGGTTTCCTCAAGGCCTCATGGGTTTCAGGCAACTGGATGGTTCTAGGGATCGAGGAGTCTTGGGAATGCCCAAGAGAAGTCCAAACAGCTAGGGGCACCCGGGTGGCTCAGTCGGTTAAGCGGCTGACTTTGGCTCTGGTCATGATCCTGGGATCCTAGGATTGAGCCCCGAATCATCGCATCATCAGGCTTCCTGCTCAGAGGGGAGTCTGCTTCTGCCTCTGCCCCTCTCCCACTCGTTCTCTCAATCTCTCTCTCTTTAAAAAAAAAAAAAAAGAGAGAGAGAGACAGAGAGACTACCAAATAGCGAGGAAACCAAGGCCCAAAGAGCCTCTTTGCCTAGAGGGATTCCCATTTGCCAGCATCTCAGCTGGTTGAAAAATGTATAGATTGGGTCTTCACTGATAGAACTTGTGTCCTGAAATGTTTTTCCCTCTAGCTGCAAAGTTAGGCCATTCTGCTTCTCATGACTCGCCGAATCAGACAATCCAAGTATATATATATATATATATATATATATATATATATATATATATGTGTATGTGTGTGTATACACACCTATATTTTTATTTATTTGTTTTATTTTTACATACATTTTTTAGTCTAAATATAAGTTTGGGTATTGTAAATTGAGAATGACAGTGATACCATTATATGATCTGTGAGAATTTAATGACCTCGCACGGTAATAATAGTAGTAAGAGCTAATGCTTATCATGGTGCATACAGGCATGGTTCTAACCAGTGACATTTATTAACCCAGTTAATCCTCACAACACCTCGGTGAGGTTGGTATAAGTCCTTCCAGTTTCTGGTGGAGAAACTGAGGCACAAAGAGATTAGGCAATTTCCCCAGGGGTGCATAGCCAGGGAGCAGCAGATTTGAACCCAGGCTCTTGACCTCCTTGTTACATTAAAAGGGCTGCACATGCCCCCTTTCCTTCCTTGCTCTGCCCCCCCCCCCCCCGCCTTAGGCCTGTGGAGGAATCTGTGGCATTTGGGACAGAGACAGGACTAGAAGAGCAGAAGCAGCCCAGAGAGGTGGGTTGGGAGGTCCAGGAGCATGCACGGGCTCTGGGCTCCCCCTCTGTCTTTGGCGGCCTGAACCCCGCAAGCTGACTTGCCAGACAGCATTTGAACTATAGGAGGAGAATAAAGATGTTTCGAAAACTTCCCCCGAGGGGCAGGGTGCTGCGCCTGGCTTTACGGACTAGGGAACGGGGTCCCTTCGGCTTGAGGCTTAGTGGGTTGGTTGCTAGAAACATAGCAGGACTCATGGTGAGAATAAGGTTGCTAGTCGAGCTGGCCTAGTCTCTGAAGTTGCTGGAACTCATACACGTGCTCACTTAATCCTTTTCACAAGCTCAGCTTTTACAAGTGAGTGAACGCGGCCAGCTCCCCATCCCTGCCCATTCCGTCCGTCCGTATTCTGTCTACTCTTCGCTCTACCCAAAAAGGACACAGTCCGTCTCCGTCTGTAGGGTGCTTCCTGATGACCCCTTCACTGGAAGTGGCTGGTACCGGGATGCCGTGAGGAGGAAAGTTTGCTGGAGCCTTAAAGGCGAGTCAGCGCTGAGGTCAGGCAGTGAATCCCGGGGATCAGAGCAGCTGCTTGTCAGGCAGCAACATAAATCCTGGGAACAGGTGTGGAGAGGAGCACCAGCCCCCATCCCTAAGGCGTCAGGCCGCCTAAATGGGCACATCAGAAGTAAACACAAGGGGCACCTGGGTGGCTCAGTGGGTTAAAGCCTTTGCCTTCAGCTCAGGTCATGATCCCAGGATCCTGGGATCGAGCCCCGCATCGGGCTCTCTGCTCAGCAGGGAGCCTGCTTCCTCCTCTCTCTCTCTGCCTGCCTCTGCCTACTTGTGATCTCTGTCAAATAAATAAATAAAATCTTTAAAAAAGAAGAAGAAGTGAACACAAGCAAGGAGAAACCTCAGACCCTTCCTACTGTGTCCACTAGTTTGAAAACTGCATCTGTCACAATCCTCGTTCCCTCTGTGGTGAACGTGCAAAAGGCTGTGGCAAGTCGACTGACCTTGTGCAAGTCACCCAGCATTGTGGGATCTGGAGTTTGATGCGTCTCTTACCCACAATGCCTAAGTGTGGTGCAGGCCAAGGGGACCCGTGTCACAGGCGTGGAGTCAGCCTGCCTTTGGAAGCAGGGATGAGCTGGGCCCTGGCCAGCCAGGAGCTGCCATGGGAGTGGGCAGGTGCATTCCCACCACCTTTCAGGAAGCCCGGGTTTTCTAGTCGTCTCTCTCTTCATTCTTGCTCAATGCCCCCCTGAGCAAGAATGAAGGAAACAGACCCAGGCCTCTGCTGCCTCCAGCATGGAGAAAGGAAAGGGAGGAATTTGGAACTTATCTTTGTCTGAAAACTAAGGGGAGCTAAGGGGAGACCAACCCCACCCCACCCCCGAGCGCGTGTGCGTGCGTGTGCGCGCGCGCACACACACACTCTTTCTCTCTCTCTCTGCTTGTCTTTTACCCAGGACAGCAGGACTGTGATGGACTTTAGTCCCTTTGCATCTAGAAATCCCAGCCAGATCCCCTGGGAACAAATCTGCATGTTCTGCCCAATGCCATGGAAATCCACAGGCACAAGGACCTCAACCCTGCTTCCCTGTGCTTGAACCTATCTGTGCAGAATACATAATTTTTTTTTAAAGCATCATTAATGAGAAAAAATTCTCATTTGGGGATTCTCCGTAGCCTGCTCGCTAAATGCCCATTGAAGGCATTGCCCTCGGACAGCCAGAACGCCCCTGGCCCAGAAGCCGGCGTGTTTCAGCCTCTACGCTCAAGCGAATCCCTTTGCCCTGTGCCTTTCCTGCATTCCTTATGCAGACAAAACTGCCCTAGAAGTCACGAAGGATTGGGATTGCATAAGGACTTCCAATTCAGGCTCCTGGAATGTCACTGACCTGAGCCTGGCCAGCTTCCCGGAGCAGCCATAGACAAACTTGGTATTAACAGCTCTCCCAACCCCGCTGAGTGTTCAGGGCATTGGCCTTGTGTTTATAACTCTTCTTCTAAAGGATATTAAAATGAAATGGGCGGAAGCCAAGTACATTTCAGTGTAAACCTTTGAGAGGCAGAGCCTGCCCAGCACAGGCAGCCTTGTTTGGAAGTGGCTCCATCTACAGCCTGGGCTCTGTAGGCTCCAGACCCAGCAGGAGGGAAGGGGCCCGGTCAGAGCCTTGGGGGCCGGGGGTGGGATCCCTGGCCATGGGGACCCGACTCATGAGCGCAGGGTGCATTCCCAAGATGTAATTCCCAAGATAAATTCCCTGGCCCCCTCTTATCCTCGGCTTTCCCCACATTTTGCGCAGTAGACATAAATTATATGAGTATCGGAAGCTAGGCAT